TTTTTATTATTGAAAAACTCAGGATCCGGCCAGTGGCCCAGAAGATTATTCTCTTTTAATTGTGCGATTGGGAAATGGAGGGATTCAACATTTTTTTGTGTGTGCGTTGCTTGCTTCGGCTTTCCCACGCCTGAGCCCTCACCTTGCGGTTGGGAGCCGCTGGGAATGTATTCTTGTGTGTTTGTATGATTTATTCGTGAACGGAACATCCCACGGTGCGACTGCTGTCAGTGCCGGTGGTGTGGCTCCCGGTGTGTGGAGAGTGCGTGCTGTGACGCTCGCCCCGCCGCCGATGCGCCCAGTGGGCGGGACAGCGCCAGTGGCACACGGCCCCTGCTTGTTGACGACGCAGCTGTCCTTTTTCTCCCTGCTTGTGTTCTCTTGTAGAAGGCTGCACAGTGTAGGGGCCGCGCGGGCGGACGGGAAGCAGACGACGGGTGGGCTCGCTAGCGGGCGGCGGACTTGCGGCGGCTTTCTGCGTTGCGGTGGAACACCGCCGGCCTCACTCCGGCAAAACGTCTGGCGCTGAGCACGAAGTTGCGTGGCGAGAACGTGTTGTTTTGTGTGATGGGTGGGACGGAGACGTCCCCCACCCCGAAGCCACTAGTTTCAGCTTGCCGGGTTCCAGCACCACAGGACCGCTCGCAACTGTAGTGGCGGCGGTGTGTTCCACAAGCGTCGGACGCATGGGTCATCGAATTTATTCGACAAGACGCGGGGTATAATAATTCTAAAAATGGGGCGGTCCCCACGGTACGAAGCCCGAGGGCCGTAGCAATAACGCCCAGAGAGGGGAGAGCCGCACCTCGATCGGAAGCGGCGCCGGCGCATGGGGCCCTTTTTTTTTCTTCCTTTGGGCAGAATTGCTTGCGCCCAGCGTGGGCTTTCGAAATGGAAGGCGAGGAAGGAAAGAAAAAGAAGTGACGGAAAATGGGGGATTTTCAGGCGCCGTGCGGGGGCGCGGGTCTCCATTTTTTCCCTCATTTCGCGTCAGGGAAGGTTCCGCTGCGGCTCGGGCGGCGGAAAAAAAGGAAAACGCGGGAGAAAGGCATCCCCCGCGACAGGCCAACAAGAGGGTAAAACGACAAACGGTCGGGGTGGGGCGTGAGCTCGGAAAGGGCTCTTTAGCACGACTCCTGTTTTTCGCGCCTGGAGGCCGGCGACGGCGGAAGTTCGATGGGTTTCGCCTCCGCTCCTGCGCCGTAAACCTCGTCGTTGTCAAAAAGAAGTGTGAAACCGGACCCGGATGTCAGCCAAGGCGCGGTCCCTCCCTCTTCCGCTCGCGGTTTTGCGGGCAAGAGGACGGGGAGCAGACCGTCCGCGGCAAAAGCCTTGGCGAGATTGAATTCCCTTCCCTTCCAGGTCTTTCGAACACTTTGCAGTTGGCCCTCCGTATTGGCACCGAGACCTGCCACGCATCCGTTTCGATAAATAACCAGCAGCGTTGACGGGCCCGAAAAAAGCCGATCAATGTGAAAACCGTCCTTGCCCACCGCGTCCTCTGAGGCGTCGGAAAGCCTCGAACGGAAGTAATCGAGGGCATGCTGCTGGTTTACCGTTTCAAAACGCGGCGCCGAAACTCGAAAACCATAATCCGGCAAGGCGCCTTGTAACAACAGCTCATTCTTAGAACTGAGGAACACGGCCAATGACCCCACACAAGCAATGTCCTTAATTCGAATCAGTTTGGCCCCGCCACGGTGGGCGCCATGTTGAAAGCTTCGTGTGAGGGGCACTGGAACCGGCTCAAATTCATTTGACGGCAGCTGTCCGGAATTTGTAGCCCCGCAACCGTACACCCTCCCATCGTTGCTTAGAAAGAGAGAAAAACTATTCCCCGCTGCCACTTTGATAATCTTTATACCCCTCTTTTCAAAGTATTGAATGCGTGTCGGTTCCATCGGAGATACCGTGGAGCCAATGCCGAGTTCCCCCCATGTGTTGCTACCAAATGCAAACAACGATCCGCACGTGAGCTGCAGCACCGTGTGGTTAAAACCGCATACAATATTGCGAATAACGCCCCCGCTATGACCCCACCAGGCACTGGTGGGATTCCACTCAGCAAACCCCTTTTCACGATCAATCTGCGCCTTGTGTCCAACACCCAGTTGTCCCATGTGGTTATTGCCGAACGCAATGACCCGTCGACCGCCAGGCTGGTAGACTATTGTGTAGTTGGACCCACAGGACACGGATTGCTTTCCCGACTTGAACGCCTCGTTAAGGTCAATATACAACGGTGCCCACCTCGGGTCGGAAACCTGCATTTTCTTGCGCAGGGCTCTATTGCGAACATCCTGCACTTCTTCCTCTTGTCGGTGTCGCTCTTGTTGTTCTTGTCGTGGGGCCGCTGTTTGCCCATACCGGTTGTCACCAAACGTGATCAGATTCCCCTCACGAGTCATGAGCGTGACATGCTTGTGCCCGGCCGCACCGCAGTGAATATCGTAAAAAGGTTCGGGTGCCACCAGACGACGACGCATGCGTGTTGACTGCCGGAGTTCCCGCTCTTCCCGTTCAAACCGAAGGTACTTTGCGTAGTCCACTTCTTCAGGTGGTGGAAGACTCTTGAGAAAGACCTCCGCCGGTGGCGACGGTGCCATGCCGCAGACGGAGCCCATCCCTATGATACGCGTGTGAAGCCGTCGAAGCATCCTTTACAACTCGTGTGTGTGTGTGTGATTGGCTGAGACGGAATAAAACTAAACACGGAGAGGAGAACGACACAATATTGCCAAGATCAAAAAGCGACATGGTCGCAATTCCCCAATTCCCCAGCACCCAGAAGGGAAAAGATAATAATAATAATAAACGCTAAGAAAAATTCATCACCAAAGCAAAGTATTCACGCACACACACACAAAAAAAAAAAAAAAAAAGACAAACAGACAGAAGAAGGATAAAAAAAAATAAAAAAAAAAAAGTCATTGCACATTTAAAATTGCGAACAATATAATTTATAATGAAGAAAAAGGCATTTCTTCACTTCCTATTCCTCACTTTGCGCGGCGGCGGATAAGGAAGCGGGTGAGAGTCATGTATTGATACACTGCCATGAGGGCCAGAATGACAATGTTCCCTACCAATCCAACCATGACGATGCTGGCAAGTGACTCGTACCTCACGCGGTTTGACTCCCCCATTTGCCGCATCCGTTCGGCCGCGGTGGCCAATTCGAACAGCACCGTTCCATGCTTATGGAGTTTGGTCTCGATCTCCGCCTCAGCCCGGGTGGTGCTCTCGGGGTCCACCTCAGGCACGTCGCGCTTCAGGAACTGAAACAGTAGCCACTTCGGTGACAGCCTCGAAAACGAGTTGTCGAAGCACACGGTGATCTCCGCCGGCAGCCCGTGTTTCGTCTCCGCCGCACTGGGGGCGGTGTACGACTGGCTGCCTTCGTTTGCCCGTCTCCACTCGTTCACGATGACTGTTGTTGTGTTTTCCCGCATCTTTATGAGAGCCTCACTGTAGTGCAACCGTGTTGTCTCTTCCACGCTGTTCAGTGGGGCCACCGTCGTGGCGTACATGACGGCATCGATATCAAAAGAGCCGCCGTCCGTCACGCGAAATGTAAATGCGAGAGATCCCCCGGCCGCAAGGGACTCGACAAAACACTCGCGATCTTCCGCGTCAACCTTCGTCCCAAACCCTACCGCACCGTAGGGGCCGTAAAGGAAAAGTGCGAGAAACCAGACGATGACCACAGAAGCATGTGCTCTGCAGCGAAACGCGTGGGGGCGCTGCGTGACAAGTCGCCTCATATGCAAGAAGGACACGAAGAACACACTTACGTGGTAGGGAACTTCGGAGAATCAAATGAATACTTAAAACCGACTATTGAGTGACGGGCCTTCATGTTGAAAGGAAGAAAAAAGAAAAAGCGAAAGCAATAGAGAATCACCTGATCCGTGTTCAAGTGGAAGTCACACACAAATCATTATCATTATTATTCGTTTTGGTTTTCTTTTTAACTTCTTCTTTGTTATTTCCTTCCTTGCAGATTCGGCATCAAAGTGCGGTTCCGAGCAGACGCTTCTTGGACGTGTATAACTATTTTAATGTGCGACCGCATGAATACATGAATGCGTAGCAATAACAACAACAACAACAACAACAACAAAACAACAACACTCAGGACTGTTTTCCCTGCTGCATCTTGCGCTGCACGCGGCGGACGCCGTGGAAGATGACGGAGTCCACCAGGCCGGCCACAGTGAACACCCCGCCCCCCACCGCGCAGAGCTGCAGCACGAGATGCAGCACCGAAGAGTACGGGTGCTTCTCAAACACAAAAACTTTAATGGGTGACAAATCATACGTTATGAACACTCCTGGCACCATCACTGGGGATGACTCTGCTGCCGCCGCACTCAACTCCGCGCTCGGGCTGGGGGTAAAATGATGTGTGACGGAGTACTGGTTGGACTCCACCACACTGCCAACGCCAAGAATGGAGGCCGATTGGTACTGCGTCGGGACGACCTTCACAAAGTAACTAAAGCGACCGTTTACCTCCTCCGTTGCGTCAACGGCGCCCCGTAAGTTCACTAGGCCGTCCATTGGATTCACCTGCCCGGGGAATCGCTCACCAAAGCCGAGGGTGTGCACAATATGACTGAGATTCAGCTGACGCACTGTTTTTCCTCTAAAGTCATGCAGGTGTTGGCCCATCAAGTTGAACATGCGTCCCGGCACGAAATGGATGTTTCCAGTCACCCGTGCAACTTTGTAATTAACAAACAAATTGCACCCCTCCTGGCTACTCAAAATAGCCGCTTTCCGTAGGCGTTCCTCCGCACACTGCTCCACGCTGACGTCATCCTCATTAAATACCCACCTCCGCAGGGAATACGCGCGGCGAACATCTTCACAGGTGTGGCAGCAAGCCCCCGGCTCTGGTTCCGCTCCGTAGCAACTCGGGCAGTTTTCCTTCTCCGCGCCGCTGGGGTCAAGGGCCTTTGTTATTTTCTTCTTCTCATCCACTAGCGGACGTGCCTCGCTGATTTTCTCCAGCGTTGAGGCAGCTACACGAGACTTGACGGTGTCGCGCTCCACCCCTTCCGCAAATGTGCCAAAGGCGTCAATGGCATCTGCGGTGATGAGATCGCACGGCACACGCGGGAACGTGATGTTCACGGTGATCTCCATCGTGCCGCCGATGTCTGGGTCAACGTACATCTCGTGCTGCTCGACGGTGGAGAAAAAGTACCGTACCTCCCCAATGACAAGGACCGCAATGATGAGGAGTGAGAGCAGCGAAAAGATGCCGCCAATCGCCGTTCGTTGCCGTGCGTCCTGTTCAAATTTCGTGTCAAACTTTGGGAAGACATCCAATTGACCGAGCCACCGCATGGCTTCCCCCCTTTTGACTCTCGCCTCACAAATATAACACGCAAAAACACACAAAAAAGATGCACAATCTCCACATAAACACACACACACAAAACAAAACAAAAAAAAAAAAAAGAGAAAAGGAAAATATTAAAAAGTAAAGTAAAACAAACCAACAGGACCAACAAGAAAGGAAAAGAAAAGAAAAAAAAAAAAGGAATATCGATACACAGCGGAATTTACTTGAGGGAGTGTGGCGTGTCTATTTGGGCATGCAGATTGTACCAGAGCACCTCTTGTTGCACGTGGGCCATGGGAACAAAAACAACAACAACGCCACATGGCATACGCCCACCCACCCAAATATGCACGCGATGAAAAATAAATATTGCATCGCACTGTAATTTTCTTCGCATTTTCTTTTTTCTTTTTTTCGCCTTCCTCTCTCTGGTGGAGGTCTCAGTGGACACCTCCGCCATATTTCTCTACAGAAGCGAAAAAACAAAAACGACAACAACAGCAACGACAACTACAATGAGAGGGTCAACAGGGGTATCTAAAAGCAAATAACACAAATTGTGTGCCTCTAAGAACAATATAAAAAACAACAACAAAAAAAAAAAAAAAAAAAAAAAAAAGACGGTTAAAATCAAAAATCTAAAAAAAACAGCCAATAATAATAGATGACAATAAAAGAGCATCCCACCACAGGCCGCGGAAAACATCAGGTCGTTGGTACCTCAATTCGTTGCCTCTTGGAGACGACGCTGAGGGAGTAGGCGACACTCTGCCCGCCAATGCCACCCACATCATCGTCATCCCCATCGTTCTGCAGGCACACTGACGTGCCGCCAAATCCCTGCGTGAGTCCGGCATCTTCATCATCGGCTTCCTCCTCTTCCTCTTCTTCTCCTTTGGCGTGGGACCCAACGTGAAGATGCATGGCTTTCGGTGCGAACGTGACCCCGCGTGATGCGGACCGCGACAGGGGAGCCGACTGCAGCTCCGACAATGGACCAACTGAAGTCATTTCTTTCAGCTGCACGTCTAGCTCCCGCACATGGTGTGAGGCCTTCACTGCGCGCTTCAACTCTACATCAAACAATAACTCTGCCCGCAGCCTGCAAGCCTTTCGACGCCCTTCAATCTCCAGAAATCCCTCCCGCACACGTAGCATCTCCGCTTCCAACTTATTCTTTTCTTCCACAACGGTGTCGTATTCCTGGTGCTCGCGACGAAGGGCTTCCAGGTGCGCCTCTGCTTGCTGAAGTTGGTCCCGCAGGAGAGCGCACTGATGTTCTCTCGCCATTATCTCCTCCGAGAGGTCCACAAGGGGCTCCGTGAAGTAGCGTTCTTCGCGGTCAAGCAACGCTGCCCATCCATGGCTGAGGTCAAGCTGCCCTTCACTTTGGCGCTGTCGCGTTAACTGCAATTCCGCCAGTTTCGCCCTCATAGCTTGCTCCTCCAACAAAATTGATGCCTCTTCCGCCTCTAACGCTGAGAGTGTTTGGGCGCTTTGGTTCGCCGTTGTGCTCCAGCGAGCCGCGCTTTGTTGAAGAAGGTCTGCCGGGTTATCGGCTGCCAGAGAGGTTCGTGGCGATGGGTTAGTAGGGTTAAATGGATTGGCCACAGCTGGCACTGAAGGAACCGTATTGGTAAAGGAGGGTATAGTCCCATATGTTTTATACTCAACAGAACCAACGCGAGCGGCGTTAGGAGCCGTGGGGTAACTCCAATTGTTTACTGTTGTTGCTGGTGGAACGCGCAGTGAGGGGGGCACTTCTATTGCCGGACCAGCAGCAGTGCAGTACGGCAGAGGGACGCCTTCGGGGCGCTTGTAATACAGCGGTGGAGTTGTCGAGCGCATCGAGGTGAGTCTATTGTGTTTTCCAGTCACCAATTACTCTTCGTCACCCACACTGCCTTTTTCTCTATTGGTCTCACTTGAAGACTGTTGATATGTTTCCAGGAAGCAGAAAGAAGGAAAGGGAAACGTAAGAGCGGTTTGATAGGGCCGTCAGGGACCGCACGTCCCCCCCCAGACGGGATGCGTCCTGACAACTGCACAAGAAAGGGGAAATCAAATATGTGCGCTGCATAGGTGAGAAGAAGGTGGAGGTGGAGGTGGGAATGACAAGAGAGCCCTCCAACAATTAATGAAATAAATAATAATAAAGAATAAAATAAAATAAAATAGTGTGCAGGCACACCGAAGAAGAGATGGCGTCACGTACGACTGGAGGCAATTCAACAAGTCTTCTCCAACACTCTTTTTCTTTATTTTCTTGATGGCAGGTTGCAATGTATGTATTTATTTGTCTGCATTTGGGCGTCCACGGAGTAAAGACAGACCCTAACCCCTTCCACACTCTCTTCCTATATATATATTTCCCGTGTGCCACATCCTGCACGAGTGAACACCGCCGCCCCTTTCCAAAGGAAAAAAGCCCGCACAAATACAGAAACACACACACACACACATGGGTGGGTGGATGCAAAGCCAAACAAGAATATTTCTATGGTCCAAATAAAATAAAAGTAAAAAACATGCAATGCGTTAATTCACACAAAACACACAACACACACACACACACAAACGACAAGGTGAAATGATACGCCCTTCTCCCAGTGTTGCTTATATATTATATGTTTTTGGATCATTTTCTGAAAACAAAACGAGCCGTGAGGCTCTTTTTAAGGACATCCATCACCTCACGGATATTATTTGCTTTGGCACCGTTGACCTCCTCAAGGAACCACACCGGCCGCGACTGGTACCGTTGCATAAACGGGTGCAGCCTCCGTGGGTCAGTCGAACTGAACGACGGCATCGAACCAATCGCCAAGGTTTTGATGGTCCAATCAAAGCGCAACCCAATCTCCCACGCGTCATCGGTACTGCGCCGCCGCGCAACCAGTTCATTGTCGTCAAAGCGATCTACGGTCACGCTGCTGTTCGGAAATTCCAGGGCCTCCGCCAGGAGTTTCGACTCGGAGGGGACGGCTGCAGAGGCATCGCTAGCCGAATTAGCTCCACAAGCATGCACGCTCACAAGCGGGACATCCATAACTTCTTGAGCGACTGCAGCCGCCACAACAGTCTTGTCAGTAACGGGATTCGACTGACGCATCGCAGCCTTCTTTCGATAACGCTCTATCTTCTTCTTTGCCAACTTCCGTCGGTCCTTCACGCTAAGTTCAGCCTTCTCTTCCTGAACCTCCGCCCTCGTGCGTGCGTCCTCTTCCTCAGCCTGCTTACGTGCGTCCTCTTCCTCAGCCTGCTTGCGTGCGTCCTCTTCCTCAGCCTGCTTGCGTGCAGCCTCTTCCTCAGCCTGCTTGCGTGCAGCCTCTTCCTCAGCCTGCTTGCGTGCTGCCTCTTCTTCGGCCCTTTTTCGCTCAGCTTCTTCACATGCCTTCTTGCGTGCAGCCGCCTCAGCCCGCTTGCGTGCGGCCTCTTCCTCAGCCTGCTTGCGTGCGGCCTCTTCCTCAGCCTGCTTGCGTGCGGCCTCTTCCTCAGCCTGCTTACGTGCAGCCTCTTCCTCAGCCTGCTTACGTGCAGCCTCTTCCTCAGCCTGCTTACGTGCAGCCTCTTCCTCAGCCTGCTTGCGTGCGGCCTCTTCCTCAGCCTGCTTACGTGCAGCCTCTTCCTCAGCCTGCTTACGTGCGGCCTCCTCCTTAGCTCGCCTCTGCTTCACAATTTCCTTTGCCCGTTCCCGCGCTTGTCTTCGAGCTCTTTTCCGTGCGGCCTCTTCTTCGGCCCTTTTTCGCTCAGCTTCTTCACGTGCCTTCTTGCGTGCAGCCGCCTCAGCCCGCTTGCGTGCGGCCTCTTCCTCAGCCCGCTTGCGTGCGGCCTCTTCCTCAGCCTGTTTACGTGCAGCCTCTTCCTCAGCCTGCTTGCGTGCGGCCTCTTCCTCAGCCTGCTTGCGTGCTGCCTCTTCCTCAGCCTGTTTACGTGCAGCCTCTTCCTCAGCCTGCTTGCGTGCTGCCTCTTCCTCAGCCTGTTTACGTGCAGCCTCTTCCTCAGCCTGCTTACGTGCAGCCTCTTCCTCAGCCTGCTTGCGTGCGGCCTCTTCCTCAGCCTGCTTACGTGCGGCCTCCTCCTTAGCTCGCCTCTGCTTCACAATTTCCTTTGCCCGTTCCCGCGCTTGTCTTCGAGCTCTTTTCCGTGCGGCCTCTTCTTCGGCCCTTTTTCGCTCAGCTTCTTCACGTGCCTTCTTGCGTGCAGCCGCCTCAGCCCGCTTGCGTGCAGCCTCTTCCTCAGCCCGCTTGCGTGCGGCCTCTTCCTCAGCCTGTTTACGTGCGGCCTCTTCCTCAGCCTGTTTACGTGCAGCCTCTTCCTCAGCCTGCTTGCGTGCAGCCTCTTCCTCAGCCTGTTTACGTGCAGCCTCTTCCTCAGCCTGCTTGCGTGCGGCCTCTTCCTCAGCCTGCTTGCGTGCAGCCTCTTCCTCAGCCTGCTTGCGTGCGGCCTCTTCCTCAGCCTGCTTACGTGCTGCCTCTTCCTCAGCCTGCTTGCGTGCGGCCTCTTCCTCAGCCTGCTTAAGTGCAGCCTCTTCCTCAGCCTGCTTAAGTGCAGCTGGTTTCTCTGCCATTTCTTTCATAAGCTTTCTCTTCATTAAAGATTTTTTAGTCTTCTTTTTTTCGTGTTTTTTGATTGTGTGTCGAGGCATTTCTGCAGTTTTCGAGTTTTCAACACCTCGGATTCCATCCGAAGACTGTGGTAAGTTGGGCTGGTCGTTACATACTGGCGTTCCCTGTGCAATTTCGGATGTAGCCCCAGTTACAATGACCTCTGGGACTTCAACCTTCTCTTTGGTCTGAGTTTGGGCGTTTTCACCCGTGTTCGACGGTGATTCCGCTGCTGTTTTGCATGTTTGGAAGTGGCGACTGTGTTTCATTAGTTTAGACATCATGGCAATGGGTTGCCGTTTGACGTCTTCCTTTGGGGCCTCAGAAAATTTCTCTGCGATTTGTTCATGCCGTTCTTCCCCACTGCTTCCGTGCAGCGTCTTCTCCGTGGGCTCTGTGAAAGGTGGAGACGCCTTTCCATCTTCAGTGTGTAGCTGTTGCGTCTTTTTCATC